AGGCCCTATTGCACAGTCACTAAATCACAAACATTCTTGGAAATAGCAGCAAAAAGAAAAGAAGAGAAAGCGAGAATAAAATGATCGCTAACAAAAACGGTCGTTAATTTTGCATCAACCCAATAAATATGAATAATCATTAAATAGTAGATAGTAAACTTTTTACTCTTTTTTATTAGTAAGTTAGTTAGTGTAAAGTTTTATTTGAATACAAGATCAAATGTCTACAAAGAACGAGCTATGAGCGAAACTCGCTCCTGTAGCAGAAGAAAAAAACTCAGAAAGAATCATTTATAAGGAGATGTGCTCAAATGAAGAGAGAAAAAAAGTAACAACAAAAGAGAAATGAAAAGGAAAATAGAAAAAAAAAAGTATGGGTAGACAAACAAAAAGAGAACACCAATAGTGGTAATACAAATAGTATGATAAGTTAACATAACTTAGAAACATAACACATGATCAAAAAATGACAACTTACCTCCCTCTAAAATATTTTTGATGTGCTTACGAATTCTACTTTTACCAAATATATTTCTTTTGTCTTTTATAAGTAATGGGTTGATGAAATATTCTTGCAAATATAAAATAGATAATTTATATTGCGAGAAATCTTTGATCACACTTGGATTTGTACTAATGATTGTATCAATCAATTTATTCCAATGGTTGTCAACTAATTTGGAAATTGATTGATACTTGGGTAAATTTTCGATCTGTACATTTCTTGCATCATACCATCAATAGATAGTTCTGAAGATCTGATGATTCAGAGCTTCAATTTGTTTTTGTTTAATTGTAGTAAGAATAGGAAATATATTTAATAATGATTGACAGTAAAGTTGAATATATTCGTTGTAAAGACTAAAGCTGATTCGTTCGCTCATCATTCTGCTCGCCACTAGACATTTGAAAATATTTAGATTAGTACTCTTCTTTATAGCTTTCGATGTTTTATTTAAATTCTGTTTTAAAGAAATCAAGAATTAAATTAAAATGATTTCAAATTTCATTGTAATGTTTCCACAAAACGAAATTATCTTTATTAGATATCATGTAGGAAGGTCAAAAAGTTTTTTCTACTGAATTATCTTGCTGTCTTTCATTGTTTTGAATCAGTTACAATGTTCAACATTAGATAATTAGACCGAGGAAGAAGACAAGCAGTCTATCTCCTATCAGTATCATTGTATTGTCGTCCCACTATCATATGTTTAATGTCATTACATACTGAAAAGAATGAAAAAAAAAGATTTAACATGGTTAGCTAGTAGATTTGTAGACAGAAAAAGAAGGAGAAATATTGTTGATGTAAACATCCTATGCGATAAATTACTGTCATGCATTGACAAAAAACTTTTATTAAGCAAGAAAATTTGCTATTTCGTTCTTTTTACTTTCGTGCAATTTGACAATTTTTTCTTTCGTCCAAAAGATGCCATATAGATCGAAGTCAACTATGTGTATAAGGAAAAAGCATTTAACTTTAGAACTCAATTGGAGCATACAGACTCTGTAGAAATACAAATGAAGAATTTGTATAAATCTAAAATAGTAAATAATTTCTGGTAGTTTTAAGTCATTTAAAGCAGAAGTATGATCGTATAGGTATTATTATCGCTGCTAAAGTATAAGGCAGGTTTATTGAAATGTACAAAAATATCATCGATCAATTGTTTACAAATCAAATTTCAATGGCCCCGAGTCTTCTTTCTGAAATAGTGAAAATCTCAGATCTCTGTAATGTTCCTCTCGAAAGTTATTCCAAAAAATATTGACCTGCCTTATATTTTGATATTGATAATTGTAATAGTATTCTGCAATCAATTTAACCATATATAATTATTCATGTCTTTTTTAAATTTATCCTTGTTTCTTGATTTAATCTCGTTAGTTGAATCTGAACATTACTATTTTTCTGTCAGCAAAATCACTATTGAATAGTCTTCTAGGTATCAAATCCATTAAAATTTCACGTGATCAATAAACTAGTCCTTTTCACTACTTATTACATTCAGAATAAATCCTAAAAACAAAAATAAATATTCTGATCAGAAATTTTTATTTGAATTTTTTATTTTAATCGATTTATTTTATATATTATTCGAAAATTCCAAAAACAAAAATGGACGGAAAAAAAGATTGAGATTAATGGAAATAAAAATCAAATATTTGCTTTATCGCTAACTTGTTTTTCCAGATCGTTAATAATAAAATCAATTGGATCAGCTGGTCGATTAAGTACAATTTTTGTTGTCAATGCCTACACAATATGAAAACTAACAGATAAATATTTAAACTCAAAATAAAAAACCTACTTTAAGTAAGTCATATAATCCATGTCGCATCATATATTTATCAGCTAGAATATTTGGATCTTCATTTTGTATTGTTTTTTGTAAAATAGCATCTATTTCTTCATCGGTTGCTTCTTGTTGTTCTCCATTTGTATTTAGAGTTATTAAGCCAAGCATTTGTAAACGTTTACATTGTTCAGGATGCAAACTATTAATATCCATTTTTTCCTTTTTTGATTCAATAAAACGATCATTATGTAATGATTTTACATTTGACCATTCAGTTTTCTGTTCATCTGACATTTCAAGATCTAAAATAATACTATGTCTAATTAAATCAATATTAAGACAAAAAAAAAGAGTCAATTGTATATTTTGTTTTTCCTTAAAAAAGAAAACGTTTTCTAATTAACCAGGTGGCCAGTCGAGTTGTCTGCCACCAAGTACATGAATATGAAGATGATAAACACTTTGACATGCATTTCGCCCATTATTAATGACTAAACGATAACCATCATCAGCTAGACCTTGTTTTTTAGCAACTTGTGCAGCAACAATTAACAAATGACCAAGGAGCTAAACGAAAAAATAAAAAACAATCATTTAAAATGATATAAAAAAATATAATTTACTTTTTCATGTGATGACGTACAAGCTGATAATTGTGGAATAGGTTCTTTTGGGACGACTAAAAAATGTGTCGGTGCTTGTTTATTTATATCATGAAATGCTACACACTAAGTTTAAAATATGCTGAATTTAGTTTTACTTTTACAAAAGAAAAAAAAAAAGAACCTGATCATCGTCATGAAGTAAATCAACTTTAATTTCTTTTCTCGCAATTTTTCCAAATATTGTGTCTTCTATCGGTTTAGCTGTTTGTGCTTTTACTACTTCATCTGATATCGATTTTTTTGCTGAACAATCTGAAATATTTCATTTTTTCTATTAATATAGATTTAATTAATTAATTAACTCACAAGGAGTTGACAATGAGAAATATGCATATGAACTATAACGATGTACAGTTGCTACTGAAGCTAAACTTAATATACTTCGTACGACAGCTGACATTTAGACAAAAAATTTTCTACAATACAAACAGATTAAATTTAGTTCATGATCAATAAAGAGAGAAAACTTTTATTTATTTGAACGAACAAAAAAATAGTAAGCGTTTAAACAGATGATTGACGATAATTTTTTGTTTGTAAAATCTTAACACCACACATTGTGCAGATACCCAATTTATAAGCACAACCTACATAAAACAAAAATTAATCCATAGAAATTAATAGAATTAAAGATAAACCTTGACAATAAGTACTTCCTGGTTGATGAATTGTACCTTTGCACACTTTACATTTACTAAATTTTGTTGTATATGGACTGTATCTTGAATATAAGAAAAAATTATTTTATTCAATGAAAACAAAACAACTTGAAGAACCAAACAAACCGAGTAGATTTTCCTGATAATAATTTATTTTCATTTAATCTTCTTCCACCGCTTTCTACAAAATAAATATTACAAGAAAGAAGAAGAAATAAATCTTAAATTCATACCAACTGTATTACGAGAACCACCTATAAGAATAAATTTATTTAAAAAAAATTCTTTAAAATATACAAACATACTTTTCCATACTTCTTGTGTTGCAACAGTACCAATTTTTTTCTGACCTAAAATAAATCATTACTGTTTTTTTTTTTCTATTTTTAATTTTATTAATAAAACTTACAATTATCACAAACCATGATGATTTATTCTGTTATTATTATCTAGAACAGAAGAAGCACATGTATATATTTATTTATATTGAGAAATGTTTCTAATCAGCTAATGGATTCGCATGTATAGTAATACGTTGTATTCGAACATCTGTTTCTGGCCGATAATTTTTTTCATTAACTGGTAATTTCTCTAATTCATCAAGTGTTTCAAATCCATCAATAACTTTGCCAAATACAGTATATTTTCCATCAAGATTTGGTTGTTTTCCATAAGTTATAAAAAATTGTGAACCATTTGTATTTGCACCTCGACTTGCCATAGAAACCATACCACGTTGACTATGCTAAATAAATTTTATTAAATGAAAAAAAAAATGCCAAAGTAAGAATTCAAATTTTACTTTTAAATTTGGATTGATTTCATCCTAAATAGAGAAAAAAAACTAATAGATAAATAAATGAAATTTATAAATTAAAAATATTACTGGAAAATATTCACCCCAAATACTTTGACCACCTTTACCCATTCCAGTTGGATCACCAGTTTGAATCATATAACCTTTAACATTTCGATGAAAAAGACAGCTATCATAATAATTACTTGCACATAACGCTAGAAAATTCTAAATTTATTTTAACATAATAAGATATTTTGTTTGTTAATTTGGACACTTACTTCACATGCTTGTGGACATTGGTCACAATACAGTTCGATTTTAATATCACCTAAATCAGTATGTAAAGTAACTGACATCTACAAAGAAAGAACATCAAGAATCATAAAATAATTTTATAGATTTTTAGAGAAAAAAACAATTTTCTTTATAATCATCAAATAGCGTGAATAGACAAAAAAAAATATTTTACAATAATTTTACATCATATTCTATCGTTCATGTTGATTCGGGATCAGTATTAATAGACGTTATATTATGTTCGATTTCATCTTTTTTCTGACGACGATATTCACAGCGAAAAAATAAAATAAAACAAATGACTAGAATAACCGAAATTACAGCCAAGATATATACAGGAACTAAAACAAAAAAATAAATTCGAAAAATCTTCAATAAAATATATATTCAAATACCAGAATAATCTCGAATATCATTGATTTTTATATCTTGAGCTTCACATTTTTGAACATTCATTTGATGAGCTGATGGTATACGTGAAAAGTTCGGTAAAATAATAATAGCAATAATGCTTCCCAATTGACTAAATAATATCAAAATTTTTTATTTACACAAGCATTAACAATAGATATCTTTGTGGCTTACCTGGCAACCAAAAAAATACCTGAAACAGTAGCTTCCGGAACTGGATGAGTTCTAAAATAATTGACAACTATATCATTTCATGAAAGTCAAAACATAGATATACCTACGTTTCAATACTTAAATCTAAACTTAATGGAAGTACTGGTGCATTAGTTAAACCAGCTATAGCAAAAATGATATAAAGCCAATAAGATTTTACTTCGTTGATGATGAACTACATGTCAACAAAATCAATAAAAATTTTATTAATTAACTTTTAATTTTCTACTTACCAATCCAATACAGATTAGTGAAATAACTCCAATAGAATATAAAATCTTTGCTAGTTCTTCCAATTTTTTCGTTTTATCCGCTATAATTCCCATAACAATGCATCCAATAAGACCGAATATAATAAAAGAACCAATACATAACCCCACGGCAATATCATTATAACCAAATGGACACATTATTTGTTGTAATAATGTTGAAAGTGTATTATTATTTGATAAACCAATTCCAACAGTAAAAAATAAGATTAAATAAGATTTTGATGTTAAAAGCTAAGTAAAAACCAACAACATATTCCTTTTCTTTCCCATACAAAAAAAACTAAGCCATACTTTTTTAAAAACTAATTTATATGGACTTTTTGCATCAAGTGAAGATAAACATGATGGTGTTGGTGGTTGTGATGATCGAACAGTCAATGATAAACCTGCTGCAAGAACGGCTGGTATCAATGATAGATAAAGCTAAATGAAATCAATTTAAATTAAAAAACCATTCCAACAACTAAAGTGGACTGCCAAAGTTTAAGACACTCTTTATTTTGGTTGTTACATAAAGTTACAGTGAAGATCGATACAAATTATTTATTCATGATCTAATTGATTGTAGGATGAAGAAAAATGAAAGAACCTCAGTTCTTCTCGCGCAAAATTTCGATGTGTAAGTATACTATTAGAAAGAGAATTAAAAACTGAATAATATAACTTATTTTTCTTTCGTCATCCCTCTTTATAATAGGATTCTTGCACACACAAATTAAAATTTAATTAATTCTGTATTAATAATTATAAGAACAGTTCTACACTTTTTTGTGCAATATGTTTCGCATTAGATACAGCACTAGAAAAATAGCTCAAAAATCATTTCTGAAATTAGTAACCAAAGATGAAAGGATTGCATCAGATGATGAACACAAGAGCTAGTCGAGTTGGTCTTGGTCCGAAAATTTTGGAACCGACTCTGCTTGACAAAATGCACTATTTTTTAAAGTTTTCAAGCCTATGTTTAGAGCTCAATAAATAAAAGTACACAGTTCTATTTAATTTTCAATGCTCTTTCTAACAGTATACTTGAACTTCAACATTTATAACAAAACACGTTTTCAGCTAGTAATTAATAATATTAAATTATTATAACTATAGTCCTTTGGTATCAAATTCAGATCTACAAATGATATGTTTAATTATTTCTTCTGAAACGAATTTTTATTATTTGATCATCATACTTGAATATTTTCTAGAAGGCATCATAATGCTGTAATATGGCTAACTGATTATCGAACTAGATTTATGAAGTTTGAAAGAAAATATGCATGCGAGAAAATGTAATGGAAGCCTTTCAAATGTATACAGTTCACATAGATGACAACATATTTGCAGATGAAATTAATATCTTTAATGTCTATCAAGCATTCAAATCATCAAGTTCAGAAGTGTTGTTCTCGATATTTGTGTTTGATAAAAGTTATTTAATATTATCATTTTCTTCTGGTCAACTTCTCCGATATTCTTGCCATTTTTAATATGAACTATAAGTTCCTTTGACAAAGAATATGCATTAGTCAGTAGCCTCAGTACCTATGAGTAGCTATACTTCTTTTTCTGGCCATCTCATATAATAGTCGTCATGCTCAACACCTTCGCTAGTGATCATTCAATTTGTAAATCAGTCTTCATTTCTTTTATAACTATGTGAATAAGAACAATTAATTAAATTGCTCTAGGCAACCGATAGTTAAATATTTAAACAAAAAAGAAATAAAAATGCGTAATAGTGATATGATAAAAATCAAGATAAGACAAGTGTGACGGATGCATGAATCATCACTTCTTTTTATTGACAATTGTCGCCTTTTAAAATAATGCTTATTCTAATGGATCGTGGTCTCTATATGGCTGTAGTCATAATACCGTAATCAATATCTTTCATTGCATACAAAAAAATACAAAAGAGGAAAAAACATCAAAATCTTTTTATACTAAAATGTAACCCATTCAATTCTACATATAATGGTATATTTTTGAAAATTGTCTCTAATTTTTGATAACAATATCATCGCCAAAATACTAAACATATCTTAAACTTCTGCCTGCTAGAGAAAATTTGAAGCCCATCCTACAATCAATTAGATTCAGAATAGGTGTTTTGTATTAACCTTAACTCTAACTTTATATGGCAATCAAAATAGATCATTTTTTTCCTTTCCTTTCGTAGAAAACATCGAAGTAATAAGTGTCTTAAACTTTTTCAATTTATTTTGAATAGAAAATACTAACTAATAAAGGTATTTTATCTTCATGTGGAACAATAATTGGTGGTAGAACAGTTCCAATAAAAACACCCAAAAAATTAGCTGAAAAAAAATTTCATAAATAATAATTTAAATCTTATAAGTTTTATTATCTTCTTACCTGCAAAACAAAGACTAGTAGCTAATGTTCGTTGACTTTCCGGAAACCAAGAAAAAGAAAATTTCGCTGGAATAAATAATGTAAATGTTTGTGCAAATGCACAAATAAATTGTCCTGGTTTAATTAAAAAAGTACTGAATAATATGTATGAAACGAAAAAAAAAGATTTATTTACCAACAAAAACAATTGGATATCGACTTTTCACAGATACAAATCCCCATGTACTTATGGTACGAAAACATCCACCAAGTAAGTTTAACCAAACACCAGTTAAAATCTATATTAAGACAACAAAAACAAAATACTTTCACATTTTATTTTAATTGCCGTTTTTTCTGTAAAGACTTACTCCAAATCGAATACCAAACTGATCAATAGCCCATGTTGATGGTAATGTAAAAATACTACAGACCACCATAAATATAAGTGAAAGCCAATTAATATCTGAGTATGAAACATTGAAATAATTTTTCGCTAAATTAGCAATTGAAGCAAAATTAATCCATAACTAAATAATAAGATATTACTTCAATAGACAGAAAAAAGAAAAAAAAATCTTACAATAGCATTTGACATATTGGCTAAACATATACATATTAAATAAAGCCATCGTCGTCTGTAAACTTTAAATTCAGTTGGTGTCCCTTCCACCGTTGGTGAAGGAGAAATTTCATTATCGATAGCGCCGTACATCTAGAAATTGCGCAATCACAATGAAATAATATGAATATGGTTTTTTTCACTGTTTTGCAATTTCATTATTACAAAAACATGATCGATACTAATAAACTACTCTTGCCTTTATCAGATACAAAGAAGAATATTGTCTTATTACTTAATGGATGTTTCAATCCAATACATAATAATCATATTCGTTTATTAGAATTAGCACGAGAACATTTAAATTCATTAAATATTTATCATGTTATTGGTGGTTATATTTCACCAGCTCATGATGCTGGTATTCTAAGAAAGTTATCTAGTCTTCATACAACATGGCAAAATCGTCTTGAAATGTGTCGCTTAGCTGTTCATGATTCATCATGGATTATGGTTGATGAATGGCAAATATCTCAAGAAAAAAATCATGGTGCACAGCAATCTAAACAACATTTAAGTGATTTTCTAAAAAAGATTTATTCTTCCATTGAAGTTATATCTATTTGTGGTGGTGATGCACTACCAAAATTCAAATCAACATTTAAAAAAGAACTTGTTATTTGCATAATTAATCGACCAATGGATGATTTTGATTTTAATGAATGGTTTCAATCATCAACCATAAAACCTTATCATAATAATGTTATTGTAGTATATGATAATGAATGTATAAAAAATATGAGTAGCACTTATATTCGTCAACAAATAAGTAAAAATCTTTATGATACTCTTATTGATATTCTTCATCCATCAGTACTTAATTATCATCATGAACATAGTATTAATTATCGCCTATCACATGAAACTATTCTTTGGTCAGATTTTGACGATAATAAAACTATTGAACTTGGTCAAGGTCGATGTGCTATTGTTTATGCTAAACAATATAAAAATCAACAAGTTGCTGTTAAAGTTGTTCATGAACGTAAACAATTTGAACATGAATCAAAAATTTTAACATTACTAGCTAATGATACATCTTATCATATAAATATAATTCGAATATTTGGTTTAGGTGATCAATTTTGTGTTATGGAAAAATGTGATATTGATCTTCTTTCATATATTAAATTAAATCGAATATCAAAAAATCAAACATTACGAACCATTTTTCCAAATCAACAATGGTTTC